CACCATGGGCGACGTCGGCTCTGGAGAACGCCGAGTGCTGGATGTAGCTGTGCCCGTGGGCAACGGCGGTAGAGCTGACGCCATGGAGGGCGGCAACGAAACCGATGTGGCTTTTGACGACGCTGGCCGTGACAAAGAGGCGGAATCAAGCATGTACGAGGAGACAAAGACGGAGGACCACGACCAACCACTCCGCGTCGTCCGGCCCTTAGGGTGGGTGCGCTTCCCGAGATCGCCATAGTTGGTGGGACAACAACCGCGAAGACGATGCCACCGATAAGCTCGTGCACTCTCTCAAGCGGATGGGACCTGATGATGACCCCGACGCGTATGAGGTCTTTCCTTTGGCGGTGACCCTGACGCTGACGACGTCGACAAGCAGCGAGAGGTTTGTTGCCACTAATGTTGGATGTTATGGTGTCGCTTATGATGTATTCTATGTTGACTTATGCTGTATTATATGGTTTTGCTATGTTGTACTCAGGCTGACGATGCTCAGTTGATTGTCGTGGACGGCAGCGACACCGAGAGCGACAACGATGACAACCCAATCGGCGGAAATGGGGCTAGTGAGACGCGGTTCAAGTAAGGGTTTCTTCGTGTACTCGGTGGCAGCATGGCGTTGGAGTCCGGCGCACTCAATATCGATGCATTGCCCGATTTGGGGTTGTCGGGCTACGAGTCACCTGTATCTGTTGACGTGCGTATACGTGGAGGTACCTTTGGAATCACCAACGCTGAGAACATGATATGCAGGCTAGACAAGGCCATCTATGATTTGAAGCAGGCAGCAAGTGCTTGGAACAAGACAATCCACCGCGTGTTCATGAAGATTGGTTTTCGCAGCTGTGGTGCCGACGCGTGTGTTTATGTGAAGGCCAACGAGGACTCGTTGGTGAATGTATGCCTCTATGTGGACGATATGATTATTGGTGCTAGAACGCGTAAGGAGATCTAAGCTGTCAAGGCAGCGCTGAAACGAGCGTTCAAGATGAAGGAGCTAGGTGAGGCCAAGTTCATTCTTGGAATGGGGACCGACCACGACTACTCGTCTGCGACGCTCATGATCAAGTAGACTCGATATAGCGTCGGCGTAGTGGGACGATTCCACCAGAAGGACGCCAAGGTGGTGGTGAACCCGTGTGAGTTGGGGGTAAAACTCACAAGTGCACAATCGCCGACGACTCAAGTGGAGCGGCGTGAGATGCAGAGTAAGCTCTGCCGAGGTCTCATCGGTTGTCTTCTCTACATTACGACGTGTACTCAGCCGGACGTGCCATACATCGTGACGCAGCTGTCACGATTTCTCGAGAACCCTGGGCAGCAGCACTGGAAGGCTGCGATTTGCGTGCTGGGATAGGTGAAGAGCGCTCGAGAGCTCGGCATTGTCTATAACGGCACGTCAAGTAGGGTCAAGTTGACGGCGTACACGGACGAGGACAGGGGCAGTAACCTCGATGACCGTCGATCAGTATCGGGGTCCATGGTAATGATCAGCGGAGCTCCAATGATATTCAATTCGAAGAACCAGCGCACGGTGGGCGCTCAGCTCGACGGGAGCAGAATACATGGCTCTTGGGCTATGCACACAAGAGATGCTGCGGGCTCGAACCATGCGGAAGTATCGTGGTCACGAGCATATGGGAGCCACCGAGGTTTGGGAGGACGACAAAG